GGTTTTGAACCGCCTGTTTCGAACCACGTTTTAATTCCACCTCTGAATAATGCCCCTCCACTCAAATCCTTGACGGGACTCAAACTGTTAAGTCTTTCTTTATTCGACGACCGAGCACAAAAGTTAACGTCTTCATTAGCCTGAAAAGAAATAAATCTTTCAATCTTGAGAATAAACTAAAGTTCGGATTTTCATTTTCTTTTTTGCAGAACGTGGAAGATTGGCACTCCAATGAGGAACGCAAAGACTTACTCTCATCAGGCGAAGTAGACGCACTTCAGGTCAAAGGAGATGTTGAAGAATACGATCGCGGATTCGAAGGAATATGTCCAAAACAAGAACCACAAGATGAAATAACAGAAATAGAACTGCATGGTGTGGATGGAAATACAAAGGAAAATGGACACGAGTATAGTTATAAAAACGGCAACGATATTGATGAAGAACTCGATGAAGATGAGGTTAATGATGATGAAGACGCAATGAATGGCAGTGAGGGCGACAACAACGATCAGGACAAAGAGGAAAATGTCGAGTTACTTGCCAAGACGACCGAAGAAGAGGCCACATCGTCAGTACCTTATTATGGGAAAACTCTAGTAGCTCCTGAGTATATGAAATTTCTTACCCCCGAAGAAACTTCTCTGGCAGGAGAGGAAGCAGAGAAAGATTCTTCCCAAAGCACTTTACTAAATGAATTCAAAGATCAAATCAAAGAGAACCGCAAAGAAGACCAGAGCACAGAAGGAACATCCGTTCAAACTGTTGAGAATGAGAAAGAGGCTTTGGAGGAGGACGACTTAAGTTCGTCCAAAGAAGAACTGGACGAAGTTGAAAATGATGTTGAAAAAAGCGAAGATGTAAGACACTCTTGTCCCCTCGAGGGGGTTGATCAGAGCGAAGAAGACGAGGAGATAGTTGAGGAGGAAAAAGAAGAGGAAGAAGAGTGGGACGATTCAAGTAATGGCTCAAAGCTTACCCCACTGGAGGAAAAAGGTTCCCCACAGCTAGCTCAAGAAGACGACGATGAAGACCAAAGTGAAAGTGAGGAGCCAGAAAAAGATGTTGAAGACATTGGGATCAAGGAGGAGGATGAGAAGTTAGTCAACGGCGAGGATGCAGGAATTTTAAAAGTGGAACAAACGCTTGAAAAAGGGAGCGAAATCAGTCCCGGATTAACTAAAGTAGATGATGAAAACAGCGACAGCGACGAGGAAATAGACATTGAGCGTGAAGAATCAGCAGGTCGAAAGCATTCCTCTTCCCTGAAAGTACACGTTCACTCCCCAACTCCAGATATAAGCGAAATGGACCCTGCTTCCCAGTCGTTCGACGCTGGAGAGGATGGGAATGGCGGAAAAGACCATGTTACCAATCAACAAGAGACGATGCAAGAGCAGTATTTAAATGAAATTGACGAAGAAGAACAACAAAGAAACTTGGTAAGCATACCCTTACAACGTTAATTTCAATGTATATTCACTGATCAATATTAGTGCTACCCCATATATGCTAATTACGTGTATGGTAGGTTGATGTTCACATTTTCTTGTAAACTTAAATATCCTACTTTTACTTGCACTTGAATTAGATCAAGGTACGTAAAAATAAAAAAACGTTGAAGGCTTTTTAATTTTTTATTTATTCTGAGTAAATAAGACAAACGATGATACGGAATTGACGCATTTTTCTCTCAGTGACATGCGCGTTCTCTTCCTGTAACGTTTGCAGTTCAGTAAACCAGTTGAAACTAATGAGATTTACCAAGATGAAGATGACCTAGGACACGAAGCAGTTGATGGTGAGACCTACCAAGAAGGAGATTCAGAGGAAAATGGCGAGGGTGGCGATGAGAACGAGGCGGAAAGCTGTGAAAGTGACCAAGAAGCCGCAAACGTAGTAAAGGACGAGGCGACTGCTACATCCACAGAGGCGCCGTTGAAAGAAGAATACGATGGTAACTATCATAAAGTCCTTGCCAGCAATTCAAAAAGCTAGTCTGAATTAACTGAAAAGAAAATTTTCCCAACTAAACCAGGTATAGCGTTAGCTGTGTTTGGTATATTGCTCTATAAGTGCTCTTCTTTTCTTCTTAAGTTCATTTTAGTTTACATGGACAAGAAAACGAGTCGGACCTTACCGGAAGAGTGAAGGAGCTGGGAAAGATGTTCGATGGAGGTGGTCCAGTATTTCCTTCACCTGGGAGGAATAACTCCGAGGGAGGTAAAATTTTATTTAAACTGAAATAAGGATTTGTGAGTAAATAAAGGTCAATGTTAATAGGTTTAACACAAAAATAACGCAAACAGGAGAATTAGTTTAGGTTACTGAGAGACGCATTTTGCAATTTTATTTCTTGCAGTCGATGGGTCTCCGATCAGTGTGCGTAAATACAAAGCAATTTTTGAGCAAGACCAAATGTCGGTTCAGGGTGCTCGAGACCCAGGTAAGCTTCCATTTAAAACTTTACAGTTGATGCAACAGCTCTTTTTATAGTTTCGTAACGAAGTGACGCAAAAACAGTTTACCTTCCTTCAGGACGAAGAGAAGAATTGATCAATCCTCCAAGAGGCATTGTGAAAAATTTGCTAGGACTCTTTGAGAACCCTCAAGGCTTTGAAGCAAGGAAAGGGTGAGGTATAGACATTAAAGTACATAACTAGAGGATTCTTTTTTCTCTTGTACTGAAAACACATTCGAGTTAAATCACCATTCAATACTGCCAATGTGGGATAGAGCGGATGGTCAGGCCTCTTCCCCCCCCCTCCCATTTGCGTGCATCATCCATTGCAATTGTAGTTAGAGACCTTAAGATTTTCTTCAGTCCTTCAATGCAACCCCAAGCCTTTGCTTACATGTCAGATAAATAGAAAGCTAGCGTCATTAAGAATGTTGCATGAATAAGCTCCAAGAAAAAAATACTGAAGGGTTATGGAGGAAATCTGCCCGTGTCACGAAGTTAATTACTGATCAATGGGATACCACTTTTGGGAATTCTTACCGTACATGATGGAAGGCTTGCCTAGTAAAGGTGTGAAACTTGTGGAAATGGGAAGGAAAATAGGTGCGGGAGGACAAGCGAACATGGGTCTAACGATGATAAGTAAATATACCTGAAATCACTTCCAAAAACTGTTTCGTTAAGTCGGTGGCGAAAAAATTATCAACTCTTGGCTCGCTTAGGGATCATTGTTTCGCACACTTATCATTATCTCATTATATTTCAGCTGAACGCCCAATGAAGATCGGTGGATATACCTCTTAACATGATATTTTATCTAGAAGACAGTTAAGCAAGTAATATAAATAAACTTTATTAGCAGTAATCTTTTACATGGATATATTTAATATCAGTATCCAGTTATCTAAAATAGCTTTAAGCCAGTGCTTTTAAGAGTGGAGCTTTTATCACGTCAACTTTTTGTGGCAGGCAGTGGGATACATGAAGCGGCGAACATTTATGGAGAGAAGCCTTGGAGATTAATTTTTAGGCTTTAGTTAATTTTAGATAAAGAGCTTCGGGAATAAATTTACTTAGATTTTACGTCCCGGAGAAGTGAAATAGACCATAGAACAACAGCTCAACAAATCCTAAAATAAAAGCTAGCAGTTTAGAACTAATTAATCAACACCTAAAAATGGCTCAGTGAAAACGGAAAAAAAAGAATATTCAAAAGAGTGCTTATATCAAAAGATGAGAGACGATTCTCGATTTAAAAAAGGAATTTTGCAGCTTTTTATGTGGATAACCGTTATAGGAATGGAACCAGTTCGGCAATTATCGTCTAAGGATTTGTCCACAATGATCCATGGACAAAATAGAAAAATAAAATGCAAGAGTAAAGTATTGGTTCACTCTTTAATTTTTGATGTTTTTCTTAAAATTATATGAAGTCAAAAGAAATACTTATGTTTCTTAAATAGCACGTAAAGATAAATACACTTATGCAATATTATCAGCGTATCAACTCATCTGAATGAGCGAATATTATCCGAGCGAATAAAATATAAGGAGTCTAAAAAGAGTACAGTTAATGGTTTGAACCCAGGAATAACATTTAATCGAGTAGTCTGATCGTCCGGGAGAGAATAGTAAAAAGTACTGTTAACGTTGTCTGGTGTATAGTGTCTGACATTTCCACAACCTTAGCGGAAGTCTTCATCAGCGCCGAGGGTCCACCTTCATTTTAAGTCTTATTTTTCTTGCAAAACCGTTCTTGGAAGGGTGTATGTATGCGGAATTTCTGATTAGAGTAACACGAGCGGAATCGAAGCCTAGTACAATTTACAACAATGTTTCGTATTTTGAAAACTAACAAAATGGCCACATGAAAGTTCTAAGGTAATAAACCGCTACTGTGCCCACATAACTTCAGATTTATCATCGAATTTATTGACGTTATGGCACTAATGGATCGAGTCTGCAGAGAAAACTGCTATTTTAAATAAACAAGTGAAATGAAAAGAAGAACAGCGCAATAGGTATCCTCGATTGACGTGTTTTGCGCACATTTTTGAGATATTTGTTTAAGAGAGATTGTGGGTTTAAAAGCAGGACGTCCGTGGCTTTATTCTCAGACAGATGAGACTCTAATAAGTCTACTCTGTCTCTTTCTTTTTGATACAAAAGCATGAAAGAAAATACAGTGAATTAAAAGTAAACATACTTGTATGGCATTAACTTGGCTGAAGCCTTCAAAAACTATTACAAGAGTTTACAATCGTCTGCGTCTATTGTTCTTAACGTAACTTTACCAGCTGATTGCGTGATGAGCTTTGACAGCACGTACGTATAAGTATCACATCCAGTGTTAAATTTCGTTTTACAACAAGACAAAGTCGTGATACAGAGGTGTTGTAGGGGCAGTAAAGGTCAAAATTTTTTATTCAAAAAAGCTCAGTTGTTTGCTGGTCGGGAAATCGAGAAATCGAAAAAAATGCCTTGGTAACTGGCGCTTGGACAAAAAGGTATGACTAACACCCTTTGAAGCTGAAATGCACCCAAGGGAAATTAAAATCAAATATGCTTCCTTTGTCGCAAAACCATGAGTAAGACGAACGCCGGTAACTCTGTTAGCAAGATTACACGTGCATTGTTCGGTCTAAATCATAAAATTTAAATATAAACGAAAGTTTGTCTTTTCTCTTTACCACTAAATGTAAACTTGGTATTCACAGTGAGTAACTTCGTGTATAAAACTTGTATAGAATAGATAATTGTTCCATATGCATAAGTTGAACGACAGACAAAAGATCCGGTGCTTAAAAACGTATCATTACGGTCTGTTATTGTGATCGAGAGAGATAAACACATCAGTACGACGAGCCTCTCTCTCGAGATGAACCTTAAAGAAATTACAGTCTTTAGCGTATCTGTATGGCGCTGGTAAACTCACGCTCGCCGACAAACTCCTGCTTTAAAGGTGAGTTGTAAAAGAAAACAACTTACAAAGGTTTAAAAATTGTTATACATGTACTGTGACAATGATAACTCAAGCAGTAGGAGGCAAAGACAGAAGGACAAAGTTTATCTTAACCTATGGCCTGTTAAAGCCCTGATCACCTGTAGCCTTCTTTATTCGTACATCTGACAGGTTTTTTCACTGGCAGCTTTTATTTAGTCAGGAATTATTCTCATTATGCCAAAGTAGATTCACTTTTTCTCCTAAAGTTTCTTTGTTTGTTACTCGAGATAAATTAGAGTCTAGGTCATAAACGAGGGTAAGTTAAAAGAAGCTTGCTGCGCTTATAACCTTGCATTATCATAATAGTTTATATTAAACTACATTACACTTAATAGGAATTGAACAACGGTATGAAAATCGTATTATTTTCTTTTCTGACCGATGAGTTCGGTATCTTTCAATACCTGATTATTTCATAGAGATGTCACACAATTCGTTTCTGTAGTTTGCTTTAATTAACTTTCATGTTGCGGCGAGCGGTTTTGCATTGTTAGAGTCCCAAAGAAGAATATTCGAGTCTAATTTGTTTGCGCTAATGAATCTTTGCGGTTTTCTGTCTTTGAGCCTACAGATTGACCTATATTTGCATTATAATGAGCTATTTTGGTAGCTGCATCGATGCTTGTATTATTAGTCTGGGGACCTATTAACGGGTCATAATCGCCGTATAATCACTGGGTTGCGTCGCATGATCCAGTGAGTTCGCAAAGACCCTAAGCAATATGCCTTTGGTATTTTGAGGAAAGAGTAATCAACATAATAAACGTTATCATATCATTGACATTTGAACTTGAGATATCAACGTACAGTTTTCTGTGATAAGTTCTGTGAAGTTTCGTGATTAAGAGAGATAACGACTAAGTTTTCTTAAATTCTGATTACTCATCAACCCGGCACCCGTTTTTTAATCAGAGGAATCAGAGGTTTTTTCTCCTAAGAGAGGAAACTCAATTGTTCTTACACTGCAAAAAAGCAACATTTTAATAACATCTTTCAGCGACTTACAATTTTTTTTCTGGAGTATTCATGATAGTAAAGACAGAGTGGAGTTCAAATTGGTCCCCAATCATGAGTGAATACAAAATCGGCGGATCCATTACCTAAACGCATACACTAAAGTCCTTTTCTACGAGAAAATAAACCCAATATTGCATGTAAAGAATAATCAGCGCACAAAAATGTTGCAATGTGTATCAAAATGATGCATATCTTCCATTGGCAAACATGAGTCGTATACCGTCCTTGTGGCGCTCAACTAGGGCCGCTGATGGCCAATCACTTTCAAGAATGTCGGTTTTCATTTGACAATGGTACAACGCAAAACCAGTGGATGCATGGCAATGCCGGCAAAATAATATTTCATTATTTTTCGAAACAGTTAACATTTGTTACAGGGCTAATAGTTTTTTTCCTATAAAGATAAGCGTCTTGGGGGTCTAAGAAATGTCAATGGTACTTGGTCAAAATTATTTGAAAAACGTTTTCCGTAAATGAGAAGTGAATGAAATAAGATATAAAGGCCGGTAGCAATCAAAATATCAGTGCCGACTTTTCACCACAATTTTATAGCTCTCACACCTTCACTGACACTTATTTTTGAGATTAACCCAGGAACTTACGGACAGTCTATAATTGTTTCCTCAATTCTAAAAGGTTCTAGATTTATGTCCACACCTTAGTGTTTGTTCAAGGTGATGACACCTGTTCTGCCCAGGGGCTGGATTTTAGGTTTCGTAAATCCAACCCTGTTTCTTGTCAGAACAACTGGAGAAAGCTATAACCGAGAGAACTTTGAGGAGAAGAGACCAAATATGTAAGTAACAATTGCAATCTGTGTCTGCATATATTCAAAATAGCGATAAGTAGTTTTGAAGCAAGTAAACGTACAGGAATGATATAACGGCAAACGGAATTGAAAAGAAAAACCGCTAATGTTGAGTATGAGGAGTCCATCGGCTAATTGAACTGAAACCACCCTTGTATTTCTTTCTCGTGATTTTACACTTGTGCCAAACTTAGTCTTGCATTAATATTTTGCCTAGCCGAGTAAGAACAAAATAAGAATTTTTTTATAACGCTTTTGAGCAGTACCGATGCACCAAATGTACGAAATCAGAAGTAAACAAGTTAAAAATGGCAGAACCTGCCAAGCGATTAAAGCAATTTTACTTTGAAATTTAGCATGAATTTGAATTGATGACTGTACCTCGGACGGCTAGATTTGATGCGTCACTTTACTTATGTTACTCTGATGGTTCTGTACTCACTGGTTTCCCTTTTTAATGATAACGCCCCATTGAGAGAAATTAAAGAAAAAAGAAGTGAAGAATAACTTACGAATACTAATCCCACTTGTCAACTAAAGTAATTTTATTCACTTAACGGCGGTGTGACGACCACAAGAGCTTCACAGAATTTTAAATCGGTTCCGCTTCTCGCCGGTGATATTTCATAGCTGATAGCAAGTGCAGCTGAACTGCGTTAATGAGTTGTGTTATTGCAATGACAAAAAGAAGTCAGTGAGCCCGAAACTGTTACATGCGGTACGGGCAAACGCAAATCGCCACTTAAATACATGACATAATGAATCACAAATGATAAGGCATAAGAAAATAATTGAAACAAATTCTGTTTGACATTTGGTTCCGAAATTTTACCTAAAGCTTACTCTCGCTCGCATCTGACCAGGTTTCATTCGTTATTTGCATTTTTTTATGACTTCGTCTTCAGTTTTTACACGTGGTGAGCAAATTTCTAGGTTTGCAGATTATAATCGACACGTAAAACAATGTCTTTCAAGTTCGGTTTAAGTGGAGTATTCACTGTCAAAGATGACTTACTTTTTGTTTCTGATGCTAAAAACACAGTCTAAGAAAAATAAACAGAATAAACATGAATAATCTTAAAGAAAATTATCTAGAATGAACAAATAAGCTATTTTTATCACCAACACCTGTTCTAATGCTTGCTGCGAGGTTTTCACTTCCTGAAGACCAGAGCTGAAAGGAAAATATCAGTTGCGATAGGCACAAGACACGTATACTTTGAAAAACTTGTATTTTACAAATAAGGAGGGACAATATTTACGACGTCTCTCGCACAATGTGGTAGACTAGGGGTCGGCGAGGTAAGGCTTTTAAAATTATCTTATTCACTGGTCTTAGACATATCTCCGGAAATTTAATTCGGACGCGATGAATATATACCGTCGACTAAGGTATTAGCAAATTGTAAACAGGGAGCTCTCTAATGCTCAGTACAAAACGGGCTCAATTTATTTTGCGGGTACAGAATTATCTTGATCAATTTCTGTTTCATGTTCAAGCAAGGTTACATTGCAGTATGGATACGAGACTGAGATTACGATATAAAACGAGAAATTTGAAATTAAAACGGCAATTATAATGGAACTTCTTTTGGTTCACGTTCATTGGTACCACGCTGGCTTCGCCTAGGCAAGACACTCAATTTGTTTTTAAGACCTCATTTTTGAATTGTTGAATAATTCAGAGAATCGGCCGGTGGCATATTGTCAAAGTTTTTTGGCCAATAAGATTTCGTAAATAAAAATTGAACCATAGGTCATTATAAGCATTATACTATATGTTCTTAAAAATTGTTCTTTCGTTAAGCCTTACTTTATTTCATAATAGATATGTTCGTCCTGACCATGGTAAAGTCAAGATTGTGGACGATTCCCTAATCAGCTTTAATAATATCCACTTGAGTTCACGAAATATATTCATATTAAGCGTTTGTTGTCGTTTTCCGGCTGCTAGCCTGTCCGTTTGTACTGAAAGACGAAGGAAGCAATCGACAAAATAAACAATTTTATGTCGATTCTAGATTACAATTTGAAATTGCAAATTCAAATAAATGGTAATTTTTACGAGTCAGAACTGATCATGAACTCTGGCTACGAATCAAACAATGATAATTATATCAGCCTATACTGAAACTTCTCGTCTCATCTGCAGCCGTCGAACTCTTTGGACTGCCTCTTGGCCTTACAAGGTATTCATTGCTTTTTGTTCATTCAAACATTTTAGCAGCTTTGTATTGACTTAGATCCCATTACGTTGAACTTAAATCTACAGTTAGAATTATCGCTTTACGACTTATAAAATGTTTGCTAAAATTCATCTCAGAATAGGAGTTAAAGAATAACCACAAAAAAATTTTCTCATTTTTAACCTTATCAAGCTGTGTACGTGGGCTAATATAAATGATTTTCGCTACTGAACCCAAACACGAAAACACTATTCATGTTTCATTAAGGTTAGTTGCGAGGGTCGATCTTTTCATGGAAATGTTAAGTAGTTCGACGAAAAAATTTTTCGTATTTCTGTCTTATCATAAAGTAAGGAAATAAACTTATCTCCAGTCTGTAAAACTGGCCAAAAATGAAATTGCCTATTAGACTTTTAGGTTTCATTATGGCGTATAATTAGTTAAATACGTCATTTCTTTTGTTTACTAATTCAAAGATCAGGCGAGATCGATGCTAATCTTTAAAGATCCTTTTGGATAAATCCCAGAGCTTTATGTTGACTGCTAGGTTGTACAGTTGCAGACATCCTGAGGTAAACTGAACTCGAAAAAACCTTGCCTTGTAGGCTAAAAAAAACTTGACGATGTTATCCTTACCGGCTGACTTCCACCTTTTGCATAAGCATTCGAAGTGCCGGTTACCGTGAAAACTAATTCAGTTGCAAAAACAGACTTGTACGCTTGTCAATTGGTGCTAATAATGTAATAGAGATCTAAAGAGAATATAAGATCTTTGGTAAAGATGTCGTATTTTGTTCGGATATCACAGAAAGAACCAAATCAGTAAAGAAATCTCGTGCCATTTGATTGAGTGACGTAAATATACTAAGGTACATGTTAACGTCTATGACATCGAAACGACAGTCATAAGACAGACCGGTAGTATGATCATGGAAGGAAAAAAATTTGAATATCACAAAAGGAAAAAGTCTTGTAGTTCTTCTAGACAGGAAAATTGGTATTCGAATGGATGGGTATGAAATGGTACTAACGATTAGAGACTATTATTAACGAAAAATTTTCGTATCGTCAGCAATGAATTAACGGCAGTGATTTGCATATTGCTGAAACGAGCTGAGATTGATAAAAGTTCTGGTTCGCTTAAGTTTGACGTGAGTACGTTAAAGAAGTGAAATTCTACGAAGTGACTATATTTCTCTGTATCGATTTCTGAAAACAGGTGGTGCCGAATGGTGTTATGCTCGGGTTTGTACCTTCGTTGGTGAGCTGCAGTCGACACGCCGTAGACGATAGCCTTGAATAAATTCATTTTGAGTGGTTGGATCCCAAGAGCTTGCGAGCGGATTATTTCCTTTCGCAATCTACTCCTGGCCGGATCTTAACACAGTTTAAACACTTTCATTAATTCCAAGCCCATGTACACATAAGCAACTAAGAACAAGCTGGAGGCGATCGATTTTAAGTAGAAAAATTGATCAGAGTTTATGAGTAAGGATCAAGGAATGGATTTCGACGAGTCAGCTCGTGAATTGTCCTTCACAAAGCAGCTCAGCCTTATCTCGTTTGATAATAACAGCGGCCGGGAGGGATTTTCCGATTGCGAGGAATTTAACAAAGACAAACTTTGCAAAAAACGATGCGATTCAACGGGTTCTTTGAATAGCAACCCTGATCAGCTGACATTTAATCAAAAAACAATAAGGGATACGAGTTGTGATGCAACGAGTACTCATGACACCTCAAGTAATCGAAAGCAATCGTTACCATCGCCTGGGAACATTGACAGCAAGCGACATGCATTGCAGAAAGTACCGAGCATCACAGTGTGTGACGATACCGAAAATCGTGCGGGTGTGGAATCAAAAAAAAATTCATTGTTCGATCCAAGGTTCCTAATGCCTACTGAGGTAGGTTTAATTGTAATTTATCAATCGATCGATCCATTGATTGAATAGGATAGGTTGACTGGTTGATTGATCGATGGACTGATTGATCGTGGTTAACTTGGATTTTTGTAATCGCATCAACACACATTAGCTTGATTGATTATCAGTCTCTCTTAATGATATGTTCATTTTAAAAGTGCAATGAATTGTCTCCTTACCTTCTTCAGTTAATTAATAGTCTGTTTATTTCCAGTCAAGTGTTGACGAAGCCAGATATCTGCTAGCATCCAGACGAGGCTCTTCACCATCCGCTTATCAATGCATACGCAGTAGAAGCCTTGACATGGTAGCAGAGGAACAGCCGTCTGATTCCGCACATGAGAGCAACACAAGTACGCCACCTGCCTCTCTTGGACTTCCTCGGTACCGAACTAGGTCACGCAGTCTTGACACCGCCCTTAAAAAAAGAAATAATTTCTCTGCTTTCAAAGAATCTCTCAAGGTAATATTGGGAATGGAACAATAGGCATGGTCCCCATTGCCTGTGTTCATACTATGCGCCATAAACGTATCCGTCCTCATGAGGGTGTTATTTCTGTTTCCGGCCTTTTTTTCATTTCGGAATAAAGGGGATAGTTTCTAAAGAAACTGTGGTGTTGCGTTGGTGGGGGAGAGGGGTATTCCAAGAGAAAATTTAGTTTCATCAACTAAGTCGATAATCTGTTATGATAACATAGACTCGAAGGTCCTAATAAACTGTAACAATTTGTCTCAATGTTTCAGTTACGTGACGTGCAAAAAACAAGGCTTGGTACGTGAGAGAAGATCTGTGGCCAGCAAAATTGGAAAATTTGCAGTAGACGTCGTCAGGCTTGAATTGAGGGCAACCCAAAAGAAGTTACTGCAAGTTATTAAGACCTCTGTTGCTCCTTCTGCGATCTACTGCGAATGTCTTGGTGGTCTAGTTTATGTTATGCAATGGCCCGTACGCGAACGCAACAGAATACGATTTCCTGTTGGCTTGATGGAAGCATTTTCCCGACTTAAGAGGAATTTAGATTAATTTTCGAAGACCTTTTTATAAATTTTGAAAAGCTGATAGAATATGGAGTAAATTTGTTTCACAGAGCAGATTATTTAAGTGCCCAAACAAATTAATATGTTTGGCTTTTTGGGTGTTATGAATAATTTAACAACTGAACAATGGAAACTTACCGGTAAAGACGTTTTTTAACTAATTAGCCCGTTTCAGTTCGTTACTTTTTTGTAACAAAATTTCAGTATACGTTTTGCAGGTTCAAGTTCAACTGGTTTTTTTGAAAAAAACATATTAAACAATTCAACTCAGTTTGAATGTTAACATTTGAGAAACAAAAATTGGTTAAATGACATGAAATCTACGTTCAACTTTGTTTTGCCATATACTCGGACGGTATTTTATACGAATATATTTTTAAGAGGGACGTCTGTGAGAAAGACCGAGTTGTAAATCTTGGTGGGTTTGCTCTTCGTGGCAGTCACCAAATACAAAATGGACACGGGATGTTGAAGAGCACTGTCGTTTCAGTTCCGGTCTCTCAATTCGACGAAAATGTTTTCAAAGAGCATCGAGTGCGTAGTGCTGCCAAGTTGAGTGCAGCGATACGCCTTTCACACAGATCGATTACCACGAAAAACAAACCTGCAAGCGAGCCCAGCTTAAAAGCATGAAATCCTCAAGGATATGAAGACAGCATGGAATGTCATCAACCGTCTGGTCTGTCACTAACTTGCAATTTTTCTGCCGCGAGTCTCACGCCGTATGCGCGGTCCTGAGTCGGTGGGTATTTAATCAGTGGAAAAGGTTGCAACTCATACAGTTTGACCATTCGCAAGGAACTTACTTGAATCCTCTTGCTGACAAGATCTTTCCGGTCTAGCTATTAGCCATCTACTTACAAACCAAAAATTACGCCGATCTTAACTTCTCACTCCTCCGATTTTTTTGCCCGATTTTTGCGGCTTTACACGTGCTAAAGAATGGAGCATCGTGTGAGGCCTGGCCACTAGAAGCTCCATCCACCACTTATCATTTAGCGCACACCAAACCGTGAAACTCAGGTAAAACAACTGACATGGCAAGCCACACATGACTGTTTCCCTTCGGTTAGTTATGACACAGGAAGGCTCGATTAAAAACGGGTCGCTGAAAAATTATTTCAATCAACCCGCCTTCATATTGAGTAGCTCACATCGAAATTGTTTATTCTTGCCACATGCCCCCCTCCAAAATAAGCCTACACTATCCC